AAACGTAATACCAGCTTGCTTGTGTGTGCATGTGCCCATATGCGAATGCACACACAAGACAGAAAGAACTGACCACAAAGACTAAACGATACTGCTGACTTTTCAGTACGGAAGAATACATATACAGGTAGTTCAATTTGGTGTGGAGTTTTACCTGTCAATGTGATATCCCGATTCACAGACATTGACCAAGGCATACAGCTGTCTCAGAGCATATTCATACTGAAAACAGAAGCAAACAGGAGAAATGTTATACAGTGGTGCCTCGCTTAACGAGCGTGCCATTTAACGAGGAATCTGCATAGCGATCTAATTTTTTAGATCGCCAATGCGATCGCATTGCGTTGTTTTAATGGGTAAAACATCGCACTGCGATGATCTGTAAGCGTTTCGCTTACCGATCTTTGCATTGCAATGTTTTTTTAAACAGCTGATCGGCGGTTCCAAAATTTCCACCGGGTGCCCAAAATGGCTGCCTCAAGTGTTTTCGCGCCCTGCCCTCGCTTACCGAAATGGCCACCACAAGTGTTTTCGCGCCCTGCCCTCGCTTACCGAGGGCGTGAAAATGGCAGCGCTATGGAGGAACTTCGCTGAACGGTGAGTTCGGGCCCCATAGGAACGCATTAAACCAAGTTTAATGCGTTCCGATGGGTTTTTCCGATCTGTTTAGTAGCGACGATTAATCCGGAACGGATTAACGTCGCTATGCGGGGCACCACTGTACCTTATTGCTTTCCATTAGGATTAATTACTATCGTGATTATCTAGGAAGGAACCAAAAGCTAAAGAAGTCCCAGGGTCTCTCTCTCTCTCCACATTAAACTCCCAAATGCCCCACAGTGGAGGACTTTGGTCTCCCTTTCTCTTACCCGTCCCATCCTATTACAGTATGGCTTTGGAAGGGTAAAATGTATCCAGCTAAAGAAGGCAAGCAATAACTTTACTCTATCCCAAGATGGGTCTGTTTCTTGTTAAGCACCACACTGCTGCAGGGTCAGTATACTGGGAACTGAATACCAGTGGTGGGTATAGCCAGAGTGAAATCGAGATGGGTTTGCCCTTTCCATCTTCCTGATCCTCTCTTCTCTCTCTCCCCTTCTCACTTCCCACATAGCAAACTAGAAACCAAAGCCACCAATTTCACAGGGCCTTGGGAAGTATGGCTCTAGGACAAAACCTTGACTCCCCTTGCCTTAAATAACCCAGCTATAATAAACGCTGCATGTAAAATATGCCATCCTCCCAGAACTATTTCCACAGCTCTCAAGAGTCTCCAATTTCCCGTGTTATGGGCAAGATTTTCTAGAACCTTTTGTGCTCCCTTGCCTCCGGTGTTTCAGGCCAAAGTCGGACTTACCAAAGGAGCGTGCCAGTTGAAGCAGCGGGCTTTGAAGTGCTCTAGTGCCGATTCATAGCAATCATAATTCCTGAGCATCAACCGGTTTGATAAGATGTGCTCAGTACGCTCATCTGAGTTTGTTATGAAGTAGATAATCTTGCGCATAGACTTCTGGATTAGCTCTTTCGCCTTTGCAGGAAAATACAAAATAACTCAAATTAGCACCAAGATAAGCCAGCCAGCATTTAAAATATTTCTGTTGCACCTTTCTCCTTAAGGAGGACTCTGTCTCCCACTGCCATATGGAGTCTTGCTTAAGACTGCAGATTTTCCCTGTGGCAACTTTGATTCCAGTTCAAATAGGTAAAAAATGTAATTTAGGACTATTCTTAGAGCAATAATTCCAC